CGGTTTTTTTTTTAGAGGTCTTAGCAGCGCCAAATGTTTTTACGTAAAATTTTTTTTTATTTAAATAAAAATTTTATCATTTATCTTGTACTGTTATTCTTTAATTCTTTGTGATAAAAACATAGGTTGAGTAAAACAATTTTGTGATATAATAATATTTTAAAGCTAAATAATTACTACTCCTTGAGGTGTTAAAAAGGAAATCTTGACAGAAAGATAGAAAGATATACATATAATTTAATTTTTATTATTTTTAAATTAAAGATACTACTACTTGGATTTTATTTTTTAAAATAATGGTATATCAAATCTTTTATACAATTGAAATACATAATTTTACTAAGTAGTATATAACATTATGTTGCGAGTATCGCAACCAAAGTTACGTAAAACCGTCATATTACCGTCATACCGCTGATCAGCCAAATCTCAAGGATTCTGACTAACTCGATATTTGTAAAATGCAATATTAAAATAAATTTAACTAAAACAACAATGCGCGCCCTTGCTGATTGCAATGAATCCGTATGTAATTCGACAAGGACGCTGACACCGATATCATGCCGAAACGCTGACGATCCAAATAATGTTTTGATACGAGGATGCATCGAGGTCGCTGATAAAAAGCGGCGAAAATAATCAAGAAGCGCTCAGATGCCCAAAAAGTACAGATGTAACGGGAGTGTAACTGAAGTGTGCGACGGTGAAGTTGTAATCGAGCCGAAATAACCAATGCAGAATTAATCAAAACTCTTTATTTTCGTGAAACAAGTGTGAAATTAGCCTCCCTTCCCCCTCTTCCATCATTTATCCTCGTTGCGGAATTGCATAACAATTATTTTACAGATCAGTTTTTTATGACAGATATTTTATGACAATTACAAATAGATTAATTGATCTTCATCTTGATCATAAATTAATCAAGATTCATATCTCTTGATGAATAGAAATGAACATTAAACATTATGTGTCGATATTAAACATTATGTGTCTTATTTCTCTATCATAGAATGTCAATTTCGGGACAGTGTTCCAGCGTTGTCAATCAATTTTGGAACACAGCCGAGCTAAGCTGGCTAAACCAGTGCTCTCATGGCAAAAATAACCATACAAAGGCGACGACGATAATGACGTTTCTTAAATGTAAATTTCCAGATTTGAATTTTCGATTGCAATATCTCTACTTATAGGGCATATAGACGAAAAATAAGATTACTTTTATTATATAATTTATATATTATATAATCCAAGCAATCGATTGTGCCTATCCAGAACTTAATCGGTTCAGCCGTTAATGAGATCCGATAATTTCGGATATTCACAAATCGCCGGCTCGTAAAGTCACACGGTAATGTTTCGGTTGTCTGTATGATTTGACACCCGAGACACTACCGTGTCTCCTGATAATAAGATATAGTAATGATATTTTAAGTGGAGTAATAATCTATACGATTTTCACATATGTATGAGGGAATAAAGAAATTAGGTAATTTCTATCGGAGCTAAAAGTTTGATATAAAACATCCGGTCAAATGATTAGTCAATGATCAGTTGTAAACGTCTATGTCTATCATGTGTTATGTGAGATAAGCGTGATATAGTATACAGTGCACTGGTCTACTATGTTAGAGGTCCTGGGTTTGATTTCCGGCAGAGTCAAAATATTTACGCTCGTTTCTTCTCGAAAGACAGGGGCAATCCACCGAAAATATAACTTTGCCATGAACGTCTCTGTATATTGCTGTTCGGAATCGACATTAAATTATAGGTCCCATATATCTGTGTATAATCATCGTGCACGCCACAAGTATATAAAAAAGAGATCACCACGCTCGAACACGGGCAATAGAATTGAGAAGATAATTAAATTTATTAAAATATTAAATATTCGTATAATAAATCTGCTTTAATATTATTGATAATATTGCAATTATATATATAATGGCGTAATTCTTTGACATATTCTTATTTCAATATTTTTTGTAAAAAATTAAACTATTTACATTAAACTATTACATTAAATATTTAAATAAACATAAATATTTATATAAACATTTATAACTTATACATTACATAAGTTCTTTTAACATCTAAATTTAAACAATGTTAATGTTAATCATATTTTTTAATACTCTTTCAATCAGTTATTTGTCGCCATAAACGCATATACTTGACGTCATTTTTTAACCATTTTGTAAAATGATATATTCTGATTTTGTATTCTGAATTTTAGTTTGATTATTTAATATATCTCTCACCTCCTCTCTCTCTAACTCCCCTTTCCACCATTTTCTCAATATTTAGCATGGAGTATTTCAACAAATTTTTGATTGTATTTAACATTAACTCAAAGGAACAATGATATATGGTATTTTTTACCTTATCGATGTCATCTTCAAAATCATTGTCATGAGTTTTGTCATTCTTAGTCTCATGTGCAATTGTATGTGCTCGCCGCGGTTGTCTTGGTACTCGTGGCTGTGGACTGTGACTTGGGCTGGGATTCAGACTAATGTTGGGACTTGGATTCAATATTGAATCTGTGAGGCCAAAGTGTTGCCGACTTTGTGGTCTTGATTGAGGCAAAGATGTTGTTCCTGTGAGCGACGTTAGTGGTATAGTACATTTTGCGGCAGCGTGTCTTCTCGCGGATGCTCTCCGGGAAGGACATTGTGTTGCTAGATCATAAGCTGTGATTGAATAAAAAAATACATTAAGAAGCGGAATAAAGTAATAAAAAGTCTTCTATTTAATACATTTGGATCACTCTAAGTACAATTAAATTCAATTTTTGTTAACTCGTATTTTTGGAAATTTGAATCTCGATTTGAGATAACTTTCAACTTATACAATAAAAGTACAATTTCTATTATAAAGAACTATGTTCAGTTTGGACAAAGACTTATATTGATATGCGAAATACTGGTATTATACCGATATTTTTCAGTATTATATGGTCATAACCCTTATACAAACCAAAGTACAGAAACGCTGGTATGACATCATACTGTTATACGAAAATACCAGCTATACTTATCTATATTTACCAGTAATTTTTCCAGTTTTCTTATTTCGTGTCAATTTTCAAAACATTTTAAGACAAAGACTTAAAGCTACTATACCGAAATTGATATACTATTACTAATATACGCCACAATGGTAGCTTGAGAAAAAATTTATTTAATAATGATACGGGAATTTCTCGATGTGCGATTTTAACATCGTATTAACGCAAGAACTGATACGTACTGGCAGTATAAGCAAAAAATACAGGAGAAATATAAAATGCTCCATAATATTAGGTGACAAAAAAGTTCTGAGCTTTAGATTTCATACAATCGAAATAACAATTTAAATTTTATATATCTTCCCGCCCTTTTGCAGTTTTAAAGCGTTTGGCCTTCTAAAATGCCATATGGTTTGGCGTTTGATGCACATAACCTCAAAAATCAGTAGTGTTCACGATGGCAATAATAAAAGAGTATATTCGATTTTCCATCCATTTCGCGTTTCATCTGAAGAAAAATGCTGCTGAAGCCACTGATTTGTGCTGCATATGGAGAGAACGCTGTAAGTCATACTACATGTAAAAGATGGTATCAAAAATTTCGCCAAGGAGATTTGTCTTGAAGATGAACCGCGTGCCCTCAAAAGATTGAAACAGACGAATTGCAAGCACTGCTGGATATAAACTCTGCGCAAACTGAAAAGTTCTGCGCTTGCAGAACAGCTTGGCGTTACGCAGCAAACCATTTCCGTACGTTTACATACGGGAAAGGTTCAGAAGGAAGGCAGATGGGTTCCGCATGAATTGTCCGAAGACAACAAAAATCGGCGTGACACTGCACTCATTTTGCTTTCAAAGTTCCGGAAAAAAGATTTTCTGCACAAAATCATTACAGGCGATGAAAAGTGGATTCTTTATAATAACCCTAAACGTAGAAAATTAGACCCTCGTCAACCTTCGACATCGACGCCAAAGCCCAATATCCACGTCAAGAAGGTTTTGCTCTGTATTTGGTGGGATTGGAAAGGTGTGTTGTATTACGAGTTGTTACAACCGGGTGAAACAATCACGGCAGACCGCTACCAACAACAATTGATCAATTTGAGCGATGCATTAGAAGAAAAGAGGCCATTTACTGGCCAAGGACGTCGTAAAGTGATCTTGCTTCATGACAATGCTCGACCACATGTTGCGAAAGCGACTCAGGACCATATCTTTGCGTTAGGCTGGGAACTTCTCCCGCACGCGGCGTATAGCCAGACATGGCGCCTTCCGATTACTACCTATTCCGCTGCAGCATCATTTGGCTGATACACATTTCGTGAGATTTGAAGAGATACGAAAATGCATTGATGACTTTATCGCTTCGAAGCCGGTGAGCTTCTATCGTCAAGGAATTCGCAAGCTACCCGAAAGATGGCAAAAGGTCGTTGATGCAAATGGGGAATATTTCGCTGATTAATATTTTTTTGTTTGTTTTTGAATAAAGATTGAATTTTACAAAAAAAAGCTCAGAACTTTTTTGTACACCTAATAATAATAACTGTCCACCAAGTATTTCAACTGCATGTGAAAATGAATATGAGGCAGATGTAGATATGATGTTAAGGGAGTAAATACTAATAACTACGCTGATAATACTTCTACTTGTATTAGACTTTATGAATTCACTTCGGGGGCTCGAGCCATGTTTGATGCAATCTCTCCTGTCGTGCTCCAGGAGGATTATTTGTATATTTGCCAATGGCGTTGGAGGGTGTCACCGCTGCAGTCCGACCCGCATCCATCGAGAGAATAGGACCATCTCTCTGGAGTACCGGTCGTGGGGATTCGAAAGAATACATGTATATATGTATATTGTAATATATGTATATATATATATATATCATTGTATTGTTGACGTGTTATTCTAAACACGTTATTTGCGATAAATATCATCATATGCCTCGGTAGTCGAAAGAATAAGATGCCTGCCCGATAAGCAGGAGATCCAGGTTCGATTCCTGATTGAGGTGGTATTTTTTCGCAAAATAATTACGAATTTTCACGACTGGTTCGGTCGGGTCCCGTCGTGACGCACACCCTCCTTTCTTATTTGGGAAGAAATTGTTATTTGAAGAAATTGTTAAAATATCCTTGTTTGGATTCTGAAGAAAATATTTTACAATTTTGGAATAAAAACGAAAATAATATACCGGAGTTGCATTCGCTTGCCGAGATTGCCTTAGCTGCCTCCGATACAGGTCAATATTGAGAATTTATTCTTTTCTCTGAAATATATATTGTCGAATTTATGCTATAATTTAACAAATGATATTCTTGATGATATTTTATTGTTTAAAGCTAACAGCAAAGTGTAAATTTAAAATTTGTAATAAAACCAAACATTCATCACCGATTACTTTGCATTACCATTGCATATCCTACACTCCTTCCAAATTTCTACTTAAATTGTTTTCCGATATAATTAAAAGCATCCTAAAAATATCGTAGAAATATAAATAAATATTAGCGGAAAATCTTATAATTAGTTTATCATCATTAAAAGAAAAACCGAAAAAATAGTATTTATTTCGGTTTCGATACATCGTATTTATATCGGTTTCAGTACAATATTAGTTTCGATATTTCTGTTTCGAGATATCAATTTCAGTATAGGTTTGCTATAGCACAATACCAGTATAAAAATTATACCGGTTTTGAGTCCTTGAGTTTGAGTTCCGGATGTACAATACTGAGATATACAGATACAATATTAAGATTGTAGGATTACTTATCGAAAAAGAATTATAAAATTCCATATGCACAACTTTGCAAAATAAGTCCCTTGAGTGCTAAAATTACACAAAGTTTGCTATTATGATTATGCAAATTTAGCACTTTCCCATCCAATGAATGTTTACGCGACTATTTTTTAAAATATCTTTCACGTCGTCCATAGTGGATCTTATCACAACTAGTAGCTGCTTCGGGGTGAGCCCGTAAAGACTGGTTTACTCCAATTTGTACATTCGCCACTTGCCTATCTTTTTCTCTAAAGCAAACTCCAGAGGCATCGCCGTCATCACAATCATATCTGAATTTCTCTGACATAACGGCATAGATCGTGACCAAGGCTTAGCTGGATTAATGAACTGTGCCAAATATATTTCAGACATTGCTTCAATGTCTTTGGTACAATCCGTTACTGCTGCAATCGCGGGGACATGCCTTAAATACAGAAAAATCAGATACCACCAGTGTTATATAATATAATATGTACCCATAAAAGCGAACTTTGAACAGTTCTAGCACTCAAGAGACTCAGTCTATAAGGTTATGCTTGGAACTTTTGAATCTTTTCCCTACAATCCTAGTTATATCTTAATGCTATACAGCCGCAGTCTAATTTCATTAATAAAACTGGGCATAGTTAAATTTGATTAAATTAATTTTAATTTCGAATGTTATTTTTTATGTAGTAAAATTCCAAACAGATTCAACAAATTTGAAAAGTACAAATCAACATGAATTTTTAGACAAAAAAATAATTACAATATTATAAAATTTCAATTAATAAGCAATAATAACCGCAACTTGTTTATTCTCAAATATGCACTACATTTAGAATCAGATATTAAAAATTATTATATCAAATTATTATATAAAAAATATCAATTATTATATAAAAATAATTTTTTATATTTTTATATTTTTTATATTTTCAACATTGTTAAACCTTTAATATTATTAGGTGGTTAAATCAATTCTTGCTATTAATTGGGAGAGATCAGTACTTGTGCTATTTCAACATGGTCGGAATGATAGTTGATGTATGAAAATACTGTTAGTAGGCTTTATAATAATCAGTATGTGACACTTGATCGGCAAAGAATACAATTTTTTCGTTTTACAAATGTCGGGTTTCGTACCAAAAAAAAAGAGCATTTGCATTGGCAAAGGCAATTGTTACTTTTTTTGCTTTAATCTCAAGAAATCTGCTGCTGAAAATCATTTGCTAGTGAAAGCTTATGGGAAGCATGTTTTATCTGAAACAACAAATGCAGAGATTGGTTTTGACGATTCAAAAACAATTAATTTGACGTGAATGACAAAGAGCGCCCTAGTCAGCTGAAAAAGTTTGAAGATGGAGAATTGGAAGCATTACTTTAAAAAGATTCATGTCAGATGCTCAAAGAGTTGTCGGAAATGTTAAATGTCGATGAGTCAACCGTTAGTAAACGTTTAAAAGCAATGGGAATGATCCAAAAGCTAGAAAACTGGGTCTCACATAAATTGAGAGAAAGAGACATTGCGAAACGTTTATTGATAGACTAGCGATAAAAAATGGATTTGTTACGATAATTCTAAGCGCAAGAAATCGTGAGTCCGTCCCGATGAATCATTAACATCAACATCAAAACAGAATATTCACAGAAAGATCACGTTATGCATTTAGTGGGATCAATTCGGTGTAGTATACTGTGAGCTGCTGCAACCGAGTCAAACCAATGCTAAACGCTACCGACAATTACTCAATTTGAATCGAGCAACTCAAAGAAAAACGCCCGCAATACGCCAAAAGATATGACAGAGTTATTCTTTTCCATGACAACGCTAGACCACATGCAAAACCAGTGAAGCGAATCTTGGAGGCACTTGGATTGGATGTCTTACCCCACCTGCCCTATTCACCAGACGTTGCTCCTTCAGATTATCATTGTTTCAGTCGACACAGATCTTTCTGAGCAGCATTTCAGTTCCTTCGAAGAATAAAAAAATGGATTGATGACTGGATCACTTCGAAAGAAACCTAAATTTTCTTACCACAGAATCCATTTGTTATTCAAAAAGTGGGAAAAGATTAGTAGCTTCCGGAGGACAATATTTTGAATAAAATATGATGTATCGTTCTGTTTCTTTTGAAATAATGAATTTTTATAGCAAACAACAGCAAGAATTAATTCAAGCACCTAATAGTTATTATAAAATGAATAATACTAAATATTTCATAAAAGATTTTCATTTAAATATTTATTTTTCATAAGTAAACAAAAAATCACTAGCACTTATATTTTGAACGAGAGAAACAGACAATACATAATGTGTTAAAAAAGACTAAAAAAAAATCAAAATAAATAGCGAGAAAGAGTGTAACATAATAACTATAATCCACAAAATAAACAAAAATATTCAAAAATTATTTTGTAACACTTACATTCTAATTGAGTATCACAGAATCGGTGGTACTCGTTTCTGGTTAAACGAAGTCCGCCAGTTTTTCGCCATGGATTTGCGGATCCTATCTCATCATCATCCCTTTGATCATGATCCTTGTGCACGTTTCTTACACTTTTTTGAGTGTTAAAGTTGTAATTTTTAAGCTGCCAATAGTTACAGATTTCATCTTCTTCTTCGAATCTTGTCTCCACAGAATATTCTTCATTATAATCATCATCATCATCATAGTCATCATCATCATCTTCTGCATCTAACTGTTTAGAAAATAATATTATTTAATACTAATAAAATTTAAATAAACATAAAACTAAAAGTATATTTCTAATTGCTAATCATCTCTCTTTTCAACTTCGTATACATCAAAATAAAATTATAAATATTTTCACTTTCAAAAAATGTAATTAAATTTTCTATACAAAGTAAAGTACATATTAATGTAACATAATAATAACTGATATATAATATAACAATTAGTACAATAAAAAATTAATAAGTTTTAACCAAAAATAGTTTACGTAACAAAAATTAAATATAAATATAAAAATTTTTAGATTCTATTGCATTTTTAGATTTCATCAATATATCATAACTGAAATATTGTTCGATAGAGTAAGTTTTTGCAATTGATAAAAATAATATAAATTTATAAAATATAATATAAATATATAATTTATTAAAAATATAATTATAAAATATATAATTTATAAAATATTGAAAATTCTTCTTTTGCTTCAATAAACAATAATAACCATATATTTGGAATTAAAATTTGTGTTGATTTGTGTTTTTGATTAGGTATAATTCATTTTTTGATACATTGTCGCGCGTCCGCACAACAATCTCCCTCACTCGCGCATCACGCGAAAATAAATAGAGGCCGTTTATAAAAGAACAAACTTTAATAAACACAACAACTAGTTACACAGTCCGTAATACAATCTCACGCTCGCAATCCGCTCGCGCGTCATTTCTCAAACCCGTCTCTCCATCGAATCATTCCAATCAATAAATCAATAATTCATAAACAACAACGCATTGACAGGAAACAATCTTCATATCAATATTCGGGGACCAAAAATGAGCGGACTACCGCTCGTTCACAACAATATAATGATTATTGATTATATTATTTGACACGGATTTTAGATTATGAATCATAGTAAGTTTCCTATTTTTTAATTGCTGAAAACAGATCTGTAAATAAAATTGCTTTATTATGTCATATTTTTAAGAAAATTGGACTTAAAAATGCTAAAATTACATGTGACATAATAGAGCAATTTCATTTATGAATTGTTTTCAGAGACAAAAAAATCTATAAAAGTCACTTATTGTGTTTTGTAAAATGAACGATAAAAATAAATAAAATTTTATAAATATCTAGATTGTGCAGTCAAGTGAAGGGATGGCATAAAAGAGCGGGAAACGTTCTTAGGTGATGTTGGAAAAGGCGTTTAAAGGACAGCTGATCAAGTTCGTGAAGGGAAAAAACTGAAGAAATTTATCTGAAAATAAGAAAATATTCAATTTACAGCTCCAAGGAGCGTAAGTAGCTCCGAAGAGCGTACAGGCTCCGAAGAGCGCACGAGGCTCCAAAGAGCGCACCAAGGCTCCGAAGAACACACCAGGGTTCCGAAGAGCGCACCAAGACTCCGAAGAGCGCATTAGACTCCAAAGAGTGCACCAATTTCGAAGAGTGTACCAGTATAGCATAAAACGCTAGCACTAATTAATAATTTTCCGAAGGAATTCCATCTCAATCACAACTCAATAAAACGGCCTTAAAAAACAGAAAACGAATATATAAAACAAATCATTACCGACAACGAATCTTTCAAGAACACATCTGAAATGCTTGTATTAGAACTAAAAACAGAATGAATATCGAGGAATAAATAAAATAAAATATGTTGCAAATAATATCTATGCAAAGACAAGCACGTTTCTCTGTTTCATTGATTACTTGATTACTTGCTGAATTCATATTATCGGTGACCGTATTAATTTTGACCAACGTTAAAGAATTGTCCTTAATTCTTCAACATATTGGCTGCTTTATACAAAAAGTTACAGTTATAGATAAAAAAAAAAAAGAATGGTAATTATCAGATCTTGCCCATAAGGGAAGAAATATTAATAGAAATAAATATTAAATTTTAGAAATAAAAATTCAGAATAAAAATTAAATACAATGAATACAAGTATAAGATACCACATTTTATACTTATTTTTATTTATTGTGCATGTTACGTCCAAAATTGTATAATGAATACAATAGGAATAAATAATGAATAGAATAAGAATAAATATTAAATTTTACAAATAAAAATTCAGAATAAAAATTAAATAGCGTACAATGAATACAAATATAAGATACCACATTTTATACTTATTTATAGTCATTGTGTATGTTACGTTCAAGCTTCGAAAAGAGAAATTTGACTTAATCGGAGCTCAGAACTGTTTATTTCTCTTTCTATTGTTACGTCCGGGGGACTTCACAAATTCTTCTCTTTCGGAAAAAGATAACAGTTGCTAATCGGAAAACGAAGCGCCTCGAACGATCTAGAAGACCCTAAATAAATATACAAAAATTCCTCTCGCGATACGTCTCGCTATCAAAAAATAATTCTTTGCGAAAGACAGCTTTGTCGGCGCCAAAAGACATTATAACATACTGATAAAATTCGAAATATTAACAAAATCAAATTCTTGACGGATGAGAAACGCATCGGATCGTTCGAAGGCGACATCTCCCAAACTGGTGAGGAAACTAAGGAAACGCCAATCAAAAAGAAGCGGCCGTTGGCGCGCACACCAATGAATAATTGAGGGTGTGGAATGGCGGATGAAATTTTCACTAACAAATTCCGTCATTCGCTAGAAATCCGGAAATATAAAAACAAATACAATTCACAGAACACCGCTCCCCTCCTTCCCCTATACTCGCAATTTTTCTAAACTATTATTCGACAAGCCAACGCGGAAATTCATCACGCCCTCAGATATTCTCACCCTTCCAGAACCCTTTATAAACCGCGACTTGGAGCGGATCACTTTCTCTTCTCTTCGCTCCACACCTTCGAGGACGCGATCATTCGAAGCTGTTACCGAAAAATTTCCAGTTAGAATCTGTGCGCGAACTTCAATTTTCATGTGATTCACGATCCAGCCAAGGCACCACAGGCTCGTCGTGCATCACCTGCGCCCCGCTACAGCAAAAGTAAGTCCATCTTTATCATTGTTTTCCGCGGTTGACTGGTTGTTTGATTCGCGATTTTGACTTAATTGTTTCCTTAAATTACTTCAACATTCCAAATTGGCAAGCCGCCGATTGACTCGGTGAAGCTGCTTCCTCCGATTCCTCAACATTCCAAATTGGCAAGCCGCCGATTGACTCGGTGAAGCTGTCCTACCACGATTCCTCAATTCTTTTACCTCTCTCAACTCACTCACTCTCTTTCACCTAACTCTTATATTTACATAGTGAAAACGAAGCCATCCCGAACAAACAAACGAAATGGACATTGCGACACCGTCGGGAGAAGCAAAACAACGGATTCGTCGCGAAACCGAACAC